AGCCTGTGTTCCTAAGCTCAGCCACCCAGGCAGCTCTGCACCCCGGAGGGGAGGCCGAGCCGGGGACCTTGGGAGAGGAGGCTGCAGGAATCCCATCCTCGAGGACCAGGCCAGGCGGGTGTCCTGTGGCCCCTGGGGAGCCTTTTGAGGACTGTCCCCCTGAGGCTTAGGGACAGCTGTTCAGGATGGAGGGGACGAATTCCCAAGGTGGTGAGAAACTGGAGGAAGTAGAAGCTGAGTTGGCGACAGTGGGGCAGGTTTGAGAGTTGGTTGGTTAGGATTTAAAGTGTAGCGTGGGGGGTGGGCCAGGGGAAGGGACAATTGTGTGTCTTTTCTCTACCCCGTGCCCCCCTCGGAGCCTGGCACGTTCACACTCAGCCCATGGAGGACGGGAGCCGGGCCGGTGGACTGAGCATCTGGGCTGGGCAGCACCGGGACAGGGAGCTGCGGGACACTCACCGTGCAGCGGGGAGGGAGACGGCAAACACCAAGGGCCCGCCTGAGGGGCCACAGAGAACCTTCCCCCAGGCGCGGGCCCTATGTAAGGGCTGCTCACGGCCCGGGCTGATGTGCAAGAGGAGCTGTGGCTGTACCACTGTGGGGACCAGTGAGGACGTCCCCCTGTGCACACTCTGCCTTCTCGCCTTTTCCTCTCTCCCCACCTCCTCCCTGCGAGCTGGCCCCAGGTTTTGCCGCTTTGGAACACCCAGCGAGGTCCGCCCGAGGGACAGCTGGCCGCCTGGGGGAAGCGGAGCGAGGTGGTACCTGGGGTGGGAGCCATCAGGGTTCTCTCCGGGACTCTGATGAAAGTAGGGCGTCGTCGCAGGAACATAACCGCCCTTTCCCGCACACACGGGCTTTCGCGGCCCCCAGAGCCCACCCCTAAGCAAGGGAGGGCAGGAGATCTGCGGTTGTGGTGGGTCCGGAGGCCCCGGGGCCCCCTTCCCACCCCAGCGCTGGGAGACCTGGAGGAGGGGCCGTTAGGGCATGGGAGCCGCAGCGGCCCACCCCGCGCCCAGCGCCGGCCTGTGGAGCCCTGAACCCGGGGCGGAGCGGACAGCCTGGGAACCGGTCTGCCAACCAGTTTAACCAGGGACTGGTTTCGACTCTGGAGTTCAAAGGAGCTGGGTGCACCCTTGTCCTCCTCAGCCAGCGGGGAGCAGCGGCCCTTAACCCTTTCCCGGTTGTGCCCGGGGCAAGGTCCAGGCTTTGTTGTGGCCAGAAAGGGGTCTGAACCCCCTCGGGGCATGAACCGGGCAGGAGTAGTGGGGGGTCGGGGGGTGCGGGGTGACCTTGCCTACAGGCGGCCAGCAGCCAGGCGCTGGAGAAGGGGGAGACGGAGCAGAGCGGCTCCCCATCTCCCCGGACCCCAGGCTTCCCTGGGGACTTCCTCCTCCTGGCCAGGCGGTCCCGGCAGGACCCTGGGTGGGTGCCGGCCCGGGGATTGGGTTTCTGGGGTAATGAATATTCATCAGGCCGAGCGGGCCTCTGCTTCTGTTTACTTAGCCGGGAGGGGCTGGGTTTCAGGTTCACCTTGACTCCTGCAGGCACAGTGAGCAGGTACCCCGCTCCCGCACCTGTTTCTCTGGC